GGGGCCCCCCCGCCCCCGGGCGGCCGGCAGCCACAGGCTGCGAGGAGCCCTCTCTCCAGAAAGGAAAGACACACACGCGCACATAAACACGCACACGCGTGCAAAAACTCCCGCCGATACAGGAACTGAGCAACACCACAGCGAAGGGATGATCAGAGTGGGTTCTCCGCTCAGACAGAGAAATCTGCTCCCGAACAGACAGCCAACGTGAGGCCCGTTTGCTACTTGAATTTGAAAAACCTTCTGAATTAGCACCGTATACAGCATCAGAAATTAATTCTTAACTCGGTGGCTCTGCAGGCTGCTAGGTCATTTGAGACCGGCAGTCATCGCAGGGCGGTCCGAGCTGGGCAGAACTCGGGTGCGTTCTTCCTCCAGCAGCCTGGGACAGGGGGGTTTAGTGCCATCGGAGTGATGAAGTCCCCCCCTACTTAGCTACTACCTCAAAAGATAATATAAGGGTAATTCAATGATTGTAAGAATCATTGATAATATGGGGCTGGGGACAATAAGAGCACTTAGAAGACAGCAGGAGTACCACACTTCTTCAAGGTTCACATGCAACTGTGGTGTGGTTGAATGCTTCCTTTTCAACTATGAATACAGATCTATGTGACTTATACTGATTCACTGACAGGCTGTAATTGTTTCAAGTTAGCAGCATTGTTCAAACTAAAATAGCTAAAACCGTATCACGAGATAAAAAGCGCAGAACTAGCTAGCACTAGCATGAAATACCACGACACCTTTGATCTTTTCTTGATTGCAAATGCTCAGGGCACGGCCTATCGCTCTGGCTCAGCAGGGGGTGACCCCAGGTCAGTTTTTTAAGGGAAATAATCAAGGGAACATACTTCTGTTTACAGTGCACCAGCCGAAAGCCTCAACCCCCTGGACCAATGAAGGTTATCACCTAAAATGCTGCGCATGCACTTCCAACAGCCTAACCAAACCACAGACTCACCAAGTATAAAGGAGCGTAATTCACAATTGCACCTATAAAAAAAAAGAGCGTAAAATAGTAGAATTTGTAGGAACTGGCTGAAACTTCGGCTGCCTTTGAGGAATGTTTGTTTGTTACTTACTCAGGTGACGCAGCATACAAAATTACTTGGTACCTATTGACATTTAAGATATAGAAGACAATCAGCTAAAATGTAAGAGATGGTGCCAGCCATATTTTAGGATTAGCTTGAGGAACAGTGTGATTCTTTTCCAGCTAAAAACAGATAAGACCACTGGAAGCTTAAACAAAGGGGAAAAAAAAAACTTCCCTATGAACACTTTCTTTTTTTTTTTTTAAACTAAAGTAAATAAAAGTTCATCTAGTCTTTTGACTAAAGAGCTTTGAGCACTTTGAGGAACACAGGGTTAAGGAGCACATCTACATTCCAGCTAGCGAAGGGACTCCCCTTGGAAGCACTCATGGCAGAGGAGTTCAGCTTCCCACTTTCACAGATCAGACTCTCTCGTTAGGTATTTCTAACGGTCTGCTCTCTCAGCGTTTGACACGGCATTCCCACCCTCTGAGGCACACAGCTCCGAAGATCACAGCTGGTATGCAGGGAGGACATGAAATCGGGAGACGCAGAGGATGGAGGATGGCATACCGACCTGGGGCAGCACCAACCGAGCTATGTCCTGACCCAGGGGCAGTAGCGTTTTGCCCAGGGATGGGGTATACGCATGGCTGATTCACTACACAGCAAGATGCAAAATAGTTTTGGAAACTGTCTTACAGAAATGCAAAACAGGACTGGACATGTTAAGCTTATCTGTACTCGGGAAGAACGTTCTGCACGACTGAGCTCAAGATTATGGCCAGTCTAATTACAGAGCAGATCGTAGAGGCAAGCTCTCCCTTTCCCCCTTGCATTCACCCATCTACAAAGTGAGATGGGAACTCAGTTTGAGCACTGCTGGCCTAATGTTTCACCTCTAGCTTAATGGGCTCTCCCTTCTTCTAAATAGGGAAAAAAAGGAATGGAAAGAAAAGTCCATCCATTTAATGCAATATAAATGCATGGCTAAAGGATCCAAAGCATAGAGCTGAACCTGGCCAGGCTAGCTTTTGAGTTTCTGTTCCCTGTCATACATAGCACCTCACTTTCCTTCAGTGAGAAGGATCTAAGGCTTCAGTTTAAAACTTGATCCTCTATTGGAGGAAGCCTTCCTGCAGTTTAAACAAATTGATGTACTACATGTCTGTAAGAGCCAGAAAACTAGTGATTTCTGACACCTTTAGCTCCATTGAGGCTGCCCTTTGCTAAGATCTACACAGCACCATGCTGCATATTGCGAGGACTGCTGATTGCTCTAGCTGTAGTAAAAACACTTCCCCCCACCGAGAGGGGAGAAGAGACCAAAATACTGCGTCTGATAAAAGATTGCTAGCCCGTTCCCAAAAAAGAAATGAAACATCTACACTTGACAAGCTGTGATCACAGGAACGCCCGAGGCAGCATCAAGCAGCACTTCCCAACAACGACAGAGCTGCGAGAAGCGTCCTGGCAGAATACGAGCAGAGATGGGATGAGGGGACTCCAGCAAGCAAACGCACCGATATCTGAAAGCTTTAAAAAGCACACGCATCCCACAGCTCCTGCGCAGCCACGTCACAATTACTGTATGTTACAACCTCACTGGCAGTAGTAATAATCTATTAGGCTTTGTTTTCCTTCCTAGGAAGCAGCCTGCATCCTTTAGGTGCTCACAAATTGCCTAAAGTAGCAAGAGAATAAACTTCTCGTTTGTCATAATTTCCAAGTCTTTTTTGATCCTCTCCTCTGCTAGTGTCAATTTGCTTGAGGTTCCTCCACCAAAATCCTTACGAAAGGCACGTTAGTTTGGCGGAGACCTTTTTTGCCTCCCTTCACAATAAAATGCTTTCTGAAATCATATACTGTTCATACACTTGTCTTTAGGGAACTAGACTTTAAAATGTAAAGCAGTCTCAATCTTCTTAAGTCCAAACCTCCATTGGCACCATGGATTCTTTTGTTCCAACAGAAGGAAGCAAGTATTCTTCCTCCAGAAAACGAAAGGGGAATTGTACTAGAAAACCACGAATCTTTTTCAATTCTTCTGCTGCTTTCACAGGATCATCATTTGCTAATTTTGGCTTGTTGATGAAATCACGCAGTTGGGCTAAGTTATTCACCTGGTCACTGGGAAGGCACCGGAAAACCTGATCAAAACAGAAAGAAGAGGTGATACGTCAGAGCAGGGGAAATACTGCAATGTAGAGTTCCCAAGGGAAAAAAAAAAAAAAACAAAAACAGAATATATTGTAAATATGCGTCTGAATGGAAGTGACTCAGTTAACGGTCTGGAGAATGGGGAAGGAGAAGATGTGCACAAATCCATCACACTGTTAGAGCATGAAGAGGGGAAACTCCAGGGCTTTGTCTGATCACTTCAAAAAGATTACTGAAAAACAGAAGCAACTAATTTACTTCTACTGCATTTACACTGAGGCCAATTGGAAGAAGTAAACCAGGAGCGATTCACTGGAGCTACAACTGATACAAGTAAAAGGAGAAATCGGACCCGCTCCTTCTTGGGTTGCCACCATTATTTGAGGACATACAAACTGCAGTCCAAGTTGTTCTCGTTCGCAGCTTGTGCGTTTCACTCAAACTATATGTTCTTTCAAAACATCTCTGACCAACTCTAGGAACTGCACTCACTTCCCTTTCCTGTCACCTCTTGCCACCAAACACAAGTTGCCGCTTCTCCCACTTACATCTATCTCTTGACAACAAGGAAGCTGGGAGGAGAATGGGAAAAGGAGCCGCATGCCTCACCTTATCGAAGATGGTGGCATTGCGGGCTGCTGTTGCAATCCAGACCTCCTTGAAGAATTTGTCACAAACAGGATCCTGGTGGTCTGAATTGAGATCCGAGCCGCCAAGTACAACCCTGAAAAGAGAAGACAAAAGAACGTGTGCCAACAGAAGCCGAGACAGTGGGAACATCATTCTCATCTTCCACTCCTTCAAAAGGGAAACAACAACAGCTGATAAGAGAATGCCAGAGGCAGCTACTAAATTACCTTACCTCAAAAACAACCTGAAGTTGAGGCTAATACCGAAGAGCTATGTTATTACTTTTATTATTACTTGTTTGCAATAGTGCCTAGAGTTTCCAGCCTTTCTGTACCAGGCCATGGGCAGACACACCTGAGAGGAGCCAACATTGCCTGTCAGGGATTGAAAAGCTACCCATTAAGAGGACAGCAGGTTTTCTATTTTAATCTATTTGAAGTACGAGGAAGCCATGGCCTTGAGAGCTGAGTATGTGTCTTATGGGTTCAGTACCTGGTAGGGTCTCGTGTCAGGCCCTGTGCTCCCTGAGCACTGGGCGCATTCACTGCACTCCCCAAAACAGAAACTCCAGGAAAGAAAGTTTCCTTGTAAACCGCCAATAAACACCACTGGGTGCTCCAACAATGCCTTGCCTGCTCCCTGCTCCCCCTGCAATAGTCTGTCAGCCTTAAAGCTGCCTTATTTTCTCATTTCTTTCTGTTTAATAGCCGTCCAGATGGCAAGGGGCGGGGGTGGAGGAAAAAGAAAAAGGTCTTAATGAAAAAATGGCTGTGTTGGGGGCCAGATGGTTGCTCTGAGTGAACAAACTTCCATTAAAAAGAGACACACCATCACCCAAAATTGAGACAGTGTGAAAACAGAAGCTGGAGGCAAAATATCACTGTCTTGTTTATGAGCTCTCTAAGTAAAAATACTTGAGCAAAATGATTTGCCAGTCAAACCGTTTTTGAGCTGAGGAGAAGGACCACACAAGAAACGCTGACTCCAGGCCACAGTAAAACTCTTTGGGCTAAATCGAGGCCAGGCAGAGCTAAATCTAAGTAAGCATCTGAAGCTCCATTGGTTTTAAATGCCTTGACCCCTTTCACTAGGCATAAATCTGTGCAAGCCTTGCACAGATAACTGCTCCCTGCTTGGGAGTGGCAAGGCCCAAGAGTGCTTGGGCAGCTGGGGAAAGTGCTGCTGCTGTGCGGTCTTGGTTCTCCCTATGGTGTTCAGCAACTGCCAGCGGTCGTACCTAAAGCACCGAAGGCGGAGAGACTGAGCAAACTTTCCAGCGCTGTAGTCCTCTCCATCCATCACGGAGGGGATGGTTTCTGTGTCCTGCACAATGATTCCTATTTCACTGTCCCGTTTCCCAAGCATGCTGCGGTCGTTGATGTTAGCGGAGCCTTGAGAGGAAGAAATCAAAGCAAATACAGTAAACCACAGTAGTATGTGTCCAGTCCCCAGAGAACACCCCAGCCCCTAGGCAAGAGCCGTCGTTATGTCAGGGCCTGGGATGTCCAGACATTGCGCAAAATCACACCCCAGACACCCATGGGTGCGTGACTCTACATCACGTGGAAGCATTGCTTCAGCTCTCTTCCACGCTTACGCTCTTCTCCAACGGGCCGTCCACCCTACCGCATCCCTCGTCTGTGCGAAGGAAACATATATGAGCTTAGGCAGCTAAAATTAGCCCACCCACATTCAGCTGCCCTCACCACTTCCAATTCAACTGATAAAGCACAAAGAGTGCAGAGGTGGCAGTCTCTTCCTCTGCCAATAGAAGGCAGAGGGCTGGATTGGGTTACTTCCATTTATTTTTGAAACTGGAGAAAAATCAGTGCACATATCTCACGAGCATCCCCCATTTCAGGCTTGCTAGCGACACAGTTTCAGCTGCTCAGGAGCGAGAGTTTTGAGATGAAGGTCTGTCAGAGCCCTACCAAAGGCACCTCCTTAACAGAAGGGAACAAAGACTCCAGGAGAGCCAGGATTGAGGATGAGAGCAAAACACTCATCCTCACAGGCTTCAAAAACTCCAGGGCCTGGGAGGTGGTTAAATTATAGTCAAGCCAATACCAACATTTTTAAAAGTTTAATTTCTCTGTAACTTCCCAGATGCTTTTGCAGAATGATACCACAGCATTCAACTGTCTTCACTGCATTTGATGTGGATAATAAGTTAAAGGAGCAGGATGGGCTCTATGGGTACATCCTCTCTATCTTTAGTAATGTAAGGAGGGAAAATGTATCATTTGTATTTGGAGGCTAGGGGCTTTTAAGAAGGGAGATTTAGGAAGACAAAAAGTCATCTCCATCTACATCGCACCAAGGCAGAGGGCAGGTTCTGGCTATGGGTAGCTAACACCCAGATCTTCCAATATTGCCAGTGGCCACGTTTTAATATCCGTATGCACGAGAGTTGTTTGCTCAAAGTCACAATCACTGCTAATGCAGTAAAACACGGCCTCCAGGGGTTTGGAGGGTGAGCTGACGAAGTGAATTACTTCTTTTCTATTGCTCATTCAGTGACTGGTGCAGTGCTAGTGCAAGCTGCATAAAACCCAAATCCCCAAAACAACAGGGGGCACTTTCAGAATGCACGGCCAGGGCATGTATCACACGGGTGTGGGACTGACACATATTCTGGAGGCCGTCTGCAGCTTGGCAGCCCTGGGAAATACCCCGTTTGGTCACGGATCAGAACTGGAGGGCAGCAGATGTTTCCTCCTCTTGTCTCGCTACCATCTGCCACACCGCTCTGGCAGCCCTCTCTGCAGGACTGTCAGGTTATTGCAGCCACCTTGTTTTCCTTCTTTTCTTTCTAGACGCTACTTTGCTTGGGCTCCGACAGTGCCCCTCATGAAGCAGTCCCTCTCTGAGGTGTGCTACCAGCTCGCTAACAGCTGCTTCAGAGGGACGCGCACCCAGGGCTCACTGCCGAAAGCTAGGCGGCTCCGTCAGCAGCTGCACACCGAGGGTGGGAGCTCACCCAACCCGCACTCAGAAACCGGGTGCTGTGCGGAAGCGTGATGCCCAAGTGATTGCTCTAAACTGGCTGAGGCTTCTCTCCCCAAAGAGTTTTCTCTGTCCTGCACAGACATCAGAAAGCAAAGAAAGCGGGATACGATAGGACATTTGACTCAAGGGGAGAGGAGCAGCAATATGCTACAAGAGATATCAGTCATCAAGTCATCTACCCAAAAAAATGACCAGACAAAAGGTCTCCAGACAACCCCCAGAACTCCTGACTCCTAATGTGACTCCTACAGAGAGGGGACCCCAGGCACTAGTTAGCCATGCAGCCTTTCCAGTGACTGAGCACGCTCAACAGGAGCTAACACTTCCAGAGGAAAAATGAGCCAAGGCCCTCACAATATTTTAATCTTCCCTTCCACCACGAGGCAGACTCTGCATGGTGGCCAAATCAGTGCTTTATTTCCATGCACTCATTCTCTTTCTTAGGTGGCAAAATGTAGAGGTGTGAATTAATCAAATCAAAGTCCTAACTAACCCACGCGCACGAAACTATCTCTGGAAACTTAACGGGGGACAGTCTTGTGCCAAACCAAGGTGCAAGCCTCTGGGCTGCTCTTGTATTGTGGCAGCTTTTCTTTGGGGGTTTGCACTTCCCCAGGAGCACCTGCACCTCCCTAGGAACGTGGCAGGGGAAGCGTTGCCGGTGTGCTCACGGCCCTGCAAACTGCCCTGCACTTGGCAGCTACGCCCAGCCCCTACGCTGGCAGCACACGCAGACTCCACGCCACCTGACCAGCCAGACCTAATGTTCATGCAATATAAAAATCAGTCCTCAGGCATACTGGCACGAAGAATAACGCTAGAGAGCACTCTCTCCGACCTTTGGACCATCGCAGTTGCAACAATACTACTACTGCTATAATAATAAATCTATTTCTCGGCTGTTCTGCATACCAGAGACATGATCTGACCCGAGAGGATAACCAAAGGGCAAACCATCCCAATCCGAACCACAAGTCGTCTTAGACTACAGGCCAGATTGCTTCTTTGAAGAAGGGGAATATTTTGATTCTTGCAAAATCTAGTATTATATTGTTCTTTGGCAAAGTTCTCGTTACTGGTATCACAGATCAAACAGGGTTTCTTTACAGAAAGAGGCTCAAATTCTGTTTTCCTATTGTAATGTGTAACTCAGAGCCCATGCTCCCTTGCCTTTCCTTTAGGATCTCACAATAAATACGGTAACAGAATCAGATGAAAAGATATCTATTACTTGTTATAACATATTTCCCCATTCTTCGGAAATGGGGTTGATAAACGACACATGTTGTCCAAACCTTCCAAATTTTACAGCATGTTCTGTTCTTTAAGGAACAGATGACAAGTCTCACAAGTTTTACTGCTAGAACAGAGTTTGATACAAGACAGATGGACAAAATTCCCTCCACTGGGATTCTCTTAACTACTATACAGAGATTTAAAACAATTAAAAAAAAAATTGAATGACAGACCTCCGAATCATTTTCTCCCTCCTGCCTACCCTCTTGATTAATCTATGAGTTTGTTTGTTTTTTAACTGCAAAACATTGCACAAGGAAGAAATCACAACATAGAAAAGAACATGGCACTGCAGCTTCGCACATGTCAGAGAAGCTAAGGGAATATTGCAGGTATAATCAAATGGTACAAAAGTCTCCTGCAAGCACCCTGCTCACCAATTATGACAGTGTTGTCATCAGCAATAAGCAGTTTGCTGTGAACGTAGATGAGTTCAGTGACTAGTTTTCCTTCCAACTCTGCATATGTTCGAAGTCCACAGAACGATATGTAGTTTATCCACTTATCTCCAACTGAAAATTTAAAGAGAACAAAATGGGATGGGATGACTAAGGGGGAAACAGAGAGGAGAGAAGATCCTCTTTATATAAAATCCAGCATGAATAACAGTTTACTTTTAACATTTTTTTTTAAATGAACAGATAATAGAAGCAAGTCTCTTCAAAAACAGACTTTTAAAAAAATGCCCGTGGGCTCTCTGTGCTGCTCTGATCCACTGCCTGCTCAGATACTTCACTCTGGTCAAAGAATGACCCAAATCTCTCTTATGCAGCATGCAAGTACTCACAATTGATACGAAAATAACTGGACTATGTGACTGTTTTTCTGCAGGATCTGCAGAGAGGAGGTTATAAGCAGGTGTTCCGTCTATGCGCAGTACGGAAAATATGTCCTAATGTGAATTGTCTACAGTTCAGATTTATACAAAACACTAGAACTAATGAGACATTAGGTACGCCTCTTATATTTATGATACGTGTTTTTCATGGCGCTCTGATTTCTATCAGAGCAAATTCAAGTAGGTATACTCATTGTGAGAAAGCAACTCTAAAAGCAGCATTATGATTAAGCAGGTTTTTCCTCTCTGTTTTTACTAACACCAGAAACAAAGCCAGCACTGGATTTACTGGGGCAGGGGGAGGCAGAGGGCCTGCAGCTCCCCAGAAGCGTGGCCCAGTTCAGGACATGTTCCAAATAACATGATCCTGAGCAGCTGCAACTGCTCTGTGCTCTTTCCCTTCCCTCATCCAGATCAGGGTTGCATCCAAACACAAAGTCTGAATATCAGCCAAGGCTCGCATGTCCTAATGAACTTCAGCGATGGGATAACAGCAGAGGCAGAGAGCGCTCAGCGGGCATGCAAGCCTATAACATACATTGCTGCACATCTGTGTGATGCCTCATTCAAAAACTCGAAACTCGTCTGCTACAACAAACACAAAGTAAAAAGAAGCACATAACACAAGTTGTGCCCAGACAGGAGCCGCAGATAGCGCCTTGCTGCTTAATCATATTCTGCAAGAAGCAGAGTCTCTCCCCTTCATTCGGAGATGGCACAACTGCAGCATTCCCTCCTACTGCATCCTGCACCTGGAGAATCTGACTTGTATTGTACAGATCAATCTGTCAAGCAGTGCTGTCCCAAGACTAAACACATCATACAGGAGCAGAATAAAGCTCTTACCCTCTGCCTTCAGCTGGCCCAGAATTGAATTTTCTCCTCTGCACATGGTCCTGGAAAGAAAGGTAGGCAGCCGTTACCACCACCAGCGATTCGAAGCAATGACACGTACTGAAGCAGAAGTCGCTCAGTGAGCTAAATCACAAACACAGATGCATTTTCCATACCCCATATAAGCAGAATGGTACTTCCAGGGCGCACAGTTCCCAGGCAAACGTTGACATATAAGAACTGCTCTTTTCCAGAAAGATCACATACCAGTCAACTTACATGTGCGAAACCACTTCTCTTCTAAAGCATATAGCAACGATAACGTGCTACAAACGGGAGCTACTGAAGTTTGAGCCACTCATATGGAAAGCACAGGTCTGGATGTGAAGTGACACCAAGAAAAGTAGTCAACATGTACATAACGCTAATACGGTGGCCCTTGCAGGGGAAAAAAAACAAAAAAAACAAAAAAAACCAAACACTCATGGAAAAGGTCCTGGTCTGGGAGAAACGCTGGTTCACTCCTCCTCCCTTGCCCCATTCGCCCTTCCAGAAGCGAGGCTGCACCCCCGAGGGAAGGAACGAGCTCGGGGGCAACAACACAAGGGAGATTTCACTCTGCAGGGAGCAGTAACCTCTGCAGACTGAATGTACACTGGTCACTCCATATCACAGCAGCTTTCTTGTAAAATCACAGTCTTTGCCTGTCTTGCCTTCGCCTGTACTCTGTTCCCACCGCAGGGCTATCTGGCACGCGTTAGTCTTTCAAAGGGGGCCTGCTGCGTTTCCGGTGTCCCTGGAAACATCCATATTTTGTGCTCCCAATTCCCTAAATGCTGCTGGCATGCCCACGTTTGAAAACGCACTCTGTTGCCTTCCCAGTGCGGACTGATGGAGCAGAGCGAATTACCCGGCAGAAATGCAAATTCGGCAATAAAACTCAGGGTTTCCACCTTACAAAGCAGGTAGGAATTTCTTGAGCTAATGAACCCACAGGACTCCATGCTCCCTCCTCCGGCTGGTAGTGGCGATGTGAAATACTTCACTCTTCCCTGAGTTCAGCCAGTGTTTTTAATACTGTTAGGACTTCTTGTGAATGTAAAGAGCCACATTATTACAGCACCACCGAAACCACTGGGAAGAACCACAGTACAGGTTAAGTTTCTAAAAGAGAACAGTGACATTGAATGGGAGGGTAGAAACCTTACGGATGAATAAATTCTGGTTTGATGAGCAAAAAGGAAAACAAATATATTTTGCAGCTTTATGCTACATATAGGGAGCAGCTAATGAATCAGGAATTGGTGCTTTTGTATAAGGCTGCAGAGGTGAGAGGGGACTGGAACGTCACCCTAGAGCTCAGGAATTTTTCCCCTGTATCTATTTAAATATTTACCAGCAGAGGGCACTGGGTCTTACTGACTATATTCTTCCTGATTTGGCTATAATCTCCTAATAGAGATATACATTAAAACTACTGGGATCACTGTTCATTTTCTGCTGCTGTGTCCAAAAGGTAGGAAAACAGACATATGGATTGTCACTATTACCCAAGATCAGAAAACCAGCACTACATGTTTTCATTTTTAAAACAATCTCAGTGTTTGTATCATGGGAAAGTGCCACCTGCATAATTCAGATTTACTTAAGAAGCAGGCTAGTGGCCTCAAAGGGCAGCTCAGAAACATGATCCCAGTTTAAGGTCACTGCTGCAAAATAAATACAGCAATATACACATCATGAGGGAAGCAAACAAACAAGTTCAAGTACCGAGTGAAAAACTATATAAACAAACAGCTATATTTTCCTTTTCCGGGCATTATGTGCTTGTTTGGACAGCATCTAACACAGTGATCGCAGCTGGAGCCTTAGCACCATCCGCAGCACCACAGAGATGGCTGGGAAGGTCGCAGATGACCTTGCCTGGTGTAGGACCACATACGTTACCTGTAATTGAAGTGCATTATGGCCTGCAGCGCGTTCCCACCTCCAGTCGAAATGTCTCCTTCAAATCCAGGCAACAGTGGGATCACCACATATACTCGGAAACGTTTGTTTTCCCTAAAACAATAGTTTTGGGGGAATATTAGCCTGCAAATTCTATTTCTTTGTATAAGGTCTAAAGAAATCGAAACCAATGCAATTTTACCAACTGGCTTGGTTTCTGGCTACTACACAAATTTTACGGGAGCAAAGTATGGAAGGTACTTCCAGTTTCAGGTCTTCATCACTTGTAATCAGTACTTCAGCAAGTGTTTAGATGATCATGGAGAGAAGAAATAATTTACTATCAACAGAGGACAACAAAAGAAGCGAAAGGAAAATAAACACATTTTTCCTAAGTGCAAGGACAGGCTAATCATCTTGCATACTGCATCTGCCATCATAAAAGGTCATTTGAACTCCTTAATAGCACAGCCTTACTGATGCTGACGCATACTGACGTGTAACACTGTCTTACAGACTACGGCTAAAATCACAGAGTTGCTACAGGCAGAAAAACAGAATCTAATCTGAAGTTCCTACTACGCTCTGGTTTTTAGAGATCAGAAACATCAGTCAAGACAGAAAAAAAATCGAAGGTATAAGCAAAACATTGGCCATTCAGAAAGGTAAATATTTGACTTATATGTTACAACCTGGAAAAACTCAGTTTCATCTTTATTCCCCCAAACTAAACAGTACCATAACCGTGAGCCAATTCTGGGTTACAATAGCTAAGATCACTGTGCTGTTTGGGCCTTTTGTTAAAGCACATTTTCCTATTTCCTTTGGTGACTGAAATGCCAGACCACTTCTTCTCTTCTTCAGTTCTCAGGATGCCTCCAGGTGTCAGCAATCCCCATTACTGTGTCCTGGTGGATGAAACTCCATTTAATGGTCCTGCCACTAGATGGCAAACACAGTTTAGTAAGGACAAAACCATTTAACAATCAGTCTGAAGACGAGCCAGTTTGCAGTTTTTGTTAAAACGTACGCCTTCCTTGTAAAATTTGGGCCTTTGATGAAGAGCACAGGATTCGTGGAGAAGGGGGTCTCATCTGATCTGCGAGTCACTCGCTCTGAATTAGCGCTTACTCATAGCTGCGTTATTCACTGTCACAAAGCGGTAATTTGACAGCAGACTTCAGAAGCAGTCAACCAAGCCTTACCCACACACGGCAGCAGAGGTACGCGGGAAAGACTCGGAAGGGAAGACTACTTGTATTATGAAAAAGAACCACCAGTCCTGCAAAAACCAGCTTGTTTGTCTAAGCTCAGTGTTTATTAAACTAATTAAAGATAGGTATTAAATAATAAATATTTTTCTATTAAAGATGGAAAGTGTTTAGTCTAGAAGAGGGAGAAGTGTATAAACTTAACTAAAGAACTCTATTCACACAATTGAACACCTGTGCCTCACCTGCTCTCTTTTCCCACGACAACTTAGGTGTACGTTTCATACAAAACGATTAGGTCTGAATTTACTTCTAATCTTTGGCAATGCCAAGCGCCCTGGAGCATGCAGACTGGGTTGAATCCCATATTTAATGGGGACTCACCAATACGATGCTGGCATAAAACTGGAATAACACAGAAATGAATCAAGCACCAGATGCTAAAATGGGTCACTGCAGAATTTGTACGACTCCTTCAGTTTTTTTTTTTATTGGACTTTCTGTTTCCCAGACACGTTTGATGCCCCTGCACATAAGCTTTGTATAAGAGGAATATCTTAAATGATTACTCGAGAATACGATGCTACCTTATCAGCGTTGCTAAAAGGAGGTAAGTCCATGAAAACCACCTATGACAATCAGTCCTAAGGGCAAGGAATCTGAAAGGGCTCTCCAGAGGAGCACCCACCTGCACAGAGCCACCACATCCGGCTGCCTGTGAGCCACGAGGTTGCAATGCAAATACCAGCAGGGCCACTTCCAACTGCTCGGCTTCTGCACCTCACCCCGGAAGAGGGCAGTTCTGCTCAGGCAGACATCCCTGTTCCTGATGCATGCCCATATTATGGCCACATATTATGTAATTCATATTACACTGCTTTTATTTTGCTTAACACCTTTTGCAGCCTTGGAGCGACTCCTGCTTTACCCTGGGTGAGAAAGTCCATCCCAGTTTTTCATAGCATATTTCAACTATTTGTGCTATGCACTGCTGCTCACAGATCACAAGACAGAGTAACTCCACCCTGTTAATCTGCCCTGCTGTTAAGTGTATAGCAGATAACACACCCACGCTCTCCCAGTTTCACAAGAGCTTATCTTTCCACAGTGCCTCTGAATAAAGCCCGTCTCAAAGCAGTTTGTGTGGCTTTCCAGATAGTGACTGTCCCGTGGTGTTTGAAAGTCGAGTTACTGTCTGTCTCAGGCTGGTCTTTTACATAAGCTGGAATTTCCAAGCTCAAGTGCCAAAGAGAATGAAATCGGTGCAACTCAAGAGAGCCCTACCTTCTTGACACCTCTGAGGAAGTAGTCCCTGCATAGCTCTGGACAACTACAATATGGAAAAACTAATCATTGCAAGAAACTTATTCAAGCATAGTGAAAAAGCACAAGAGAAATGAAAGAAAGAAGTTTAGAACGTTTTCTGTACGTTAGCCCAGCAAGACTAGGATAGAGCTTTAAAACATGGCACATGTGTATCTTAAGGACTGACTCCAGAAGAGCAACCTTAAGTAAAGTTGTCCAGGATCAAAGTGAAGACGAGCCACTGCTTGCGATACTAACATTAACATGGGGTTAGGCATACTCAAGTAAAAGAAGCATCTGAAACAGTTCCTAGATGGATCGAATCCAAATAACTACAATCCCCTTGCACTGTCTGGAGGTTGTAAACATCCTCCTGCACTTATTAGGAAAAGTTGTTCAAACAGTAACTGCTGAACTCTGCAGCCAAATCCTCAAAATGCGTTTGCTTCACCTATTGACAGCAATCCTCTGTACAGAGCATTTAAATAATCCACATATTCCAGTTCAACCATTTCAGCCATTAACTTCCTTTACCATTCAGTTCCAGAGCGGCTGGCTGTGGAACAATGGGGTGTTTCACTCAAGGTATAGACTGCTCGCTTTTCAAACAACTGACATAGCTAAAAGTTACAGTTGCATCAGGGTGCCTCCAGAACACCGCTTTCTGGTTGCAAAGAACTGCTGCAAGAGAAAGCATAATTTAGACCATACAGGTGCTGTGTTGGAAAAAACAATTGTACAATTGTGTCGATTAAGATGCTATTTTAAGCCACATTCTATAAATGCATCTGGAAGTCTTTCGTTGCCTTGTTAACAATAGGTTACCTGTGAGCTTTAAGAATCCTCTGAGCGATTGCATCTCCTATCTTGTTCCAGACAACTTTGTCATCAGCACAGCTAATAAAAAACTGGTTCTGCAGGAAAAGCAAGCAAAGCTACTGTCAGACATTGCCAGTAACGAACAGAAAATATTTCCCTACTATATTTCAAGCCAAGAACAACTAGAAGATAGTTGTTCTTTGTGTTCTTTGTCATTTGAATGGATGTTAATTTCTTTTTTAATTAAGTGATATATGTGCTTGTGTTTCATTCAGGGAATAAAATATTCTTTATTAAATAACCACACTCTTTGAACAGTTCACATAAACAGCATCCAAACAAGATGCTGGAAAAAAAGCAGGTTAAATGTCTCTGGTCAGGCAACGTTGAGAGTTGCTCTGACACAGGAGAATCCTGCAGGCTCAAAGGCTGCATGGATGCGAGACCAATACCCTGCACGTGTGCCGTGGGTTGCGGCATGCACCAGGCACACAGCAAAGCCATTAAGTGGATTGGAAGACTATTGCACAAGCCATGGAAGTTGCTGGCAATTCTGGCAAGAAGATCATAAAGGAGAGGCCAACTTTTTTCCACCTCATGGTCAGAAGACTGCCATTGTACACCCCTATCAGCCTGCTCTAAAGGCCACTGAAGTCAGTGGAAGCAACCCCCAAGATTCACAGTAGACTCTGTATTAATATCCACATCTCACAATTCACAGAAAGGTAACACCAAGCCTTGACAGAAAGAACTACACTCCTGATGGCTGCAAGCCGTGCTCAGAGCGTCAGTGCTTTCTCTCATGTCTACTCACCTCTATATATATGTAGTGCTTGCTGTTTTCTATCACTCTGACGTAAGCGCTATGGATGGATTCTTCATGGTATTTAATGCCAGCCGACCAGTCAGCAGCAGAACGGATCACCTGAAAAGCAAGAAAAATTAACCCTTTCAATTCTAGCCCCATCCAGGATGGCACTGCATTGCAAGTAAATCATTTAAAAAGAAATGCTCTTGACCGGCAGTGCTTATTTGTTAGGATTTCATTAAATAAGGTAATATATGCAGCACTTACCACTTATACTGCATTTATAATAAGGAAAAAAGACAGCCTAAAAATAATATTCATGGTGTTAATACTGATTTGATAAAAACACATAATGGCCCTCTCCCATTGCTGCATTACTTCCCTCTTCCACCTGAACAGCTCTACACAAGGAGGACCTTGCTTAAAGTCTTACAATAAATCATTTTTAAATTAGTTTAAGTTTCCAAGTTGCCCCTTACTTTAAGAGGGCACATCCACTTAGTCATGTCCTCTTTAGCAATTTTTAAAGCTGAAATCTTCAGCTGAATTAATGATTTTTTTCCCCCACAGGCAGACAATACATTCCTATACGCACAGTCCAATAACATAGGCCATGTCTCTGTCCTGAACACTTAAGGTCATTTATTTCTTCTGCCAAATTCTTGCAAAAGCCATCAGCTTTGTGATTATTTGACTTCTTAATTCACAGGAGTTCATCTACCCAGACTTATTAATTTATTTACTTTTACCGTAAATCCCCTTTTAAAGTAAATATTGCAAGATCCCTAGGGTACATTTTCCCCCTGCCTCCTGCAGTTTTTATGTGAGAGTGCCAAACTAATATGAGAAATAACCTTTGGTCGTATTCTCATCCATGCTTAGCAATGTCCGCTGCAGACCGTTTCCTGTCTCTGTTGCAGTCAGCTCCTACTCAAGAGCTTTCCCTGCTATGGCATCTCCCATTCCTGCACTTTGAATCAAGAAGCAACTGATGGTACATCCTGAGTGACATTTTCCTAGATGGAAATGTAATTTTAACTTAAGTGCTGCCTGGGTATGCGCTCAGGGGAAATAATTACTCTTCCTTAGCCTCTGTCTTTAAACACTGTCAACATAAAACATTGAAATCATAGTCTCAAAGTATCTTGATTCAGCCACTCCACCAGCATGCAGGTCTATTATACACAGGACAAGATCCAGATGCTAAGAATCTGTGAAAATCCTGTTTTCTTCTAGGGCTCAGCCATATTTTTCCCTGGAAAACCCTCCAATGGATTTCTTTTCTTTTTCAATATGCAGTTCTGGCTTCTGGTTTGCTGCTTGTTGTTCTGCACCTGTCCTGTTACCCCCTGCTCCTCCTAGCCCTGAACGCTGCTCACGCTCTGCTAGCCAAACTCTCGTCTTCATTCACATTACACCCGTGACTAAAGCAGACTGTTGACACAGAGACAGCTAATGACCTTCTAGAGCTCATCAGTGAACTTAACAGCAAGACAATAGATTAAGTAAGGATTTGGCCCTTTGGTTCAGATGCTGGATGCTGTAACCAAACCAGTCTTATGATCTACACAGCATCTCCGGCCTGACCTTCTTTGGAACATGTACTGAGGGGATATTACTATTAAGTAACATGCGATTCCTGTGCCGTATCCTTCATCTGGACAAAAGCAGACCCCTCCCACAGATCACAAAATCGGACCCTGTGAAGCCTCATGTTAGGCTGTTGCTGCTTTCTTGGCCAACACGAGGGAGCACTCTGCAGGTCTCCAGCACCGGAAGCACGAGCCGCAGCCGCCTGAGCTAAGGGGCAGTCTGTACAGCCTCGTGTCCTCTCTGGATTAGAAGCAGCTGCTGAAGCATTGCTGCTCGCTGACCATCGCTTGTGTAAACCTCTGCTAAGCTTGCATAAACCCACTGCCAGGGGGTGGGATTACAGCAATTCCCAGCAGCAGCCTCCTGCCCAAAGGCCTGTGCGCTACTCAGGTCCACACGGTATTAATCAACCATTTGGCCGGCAAAGCTTAACACTCACTTGGTACTTTTCATTTTGGAAGAGCTGTACACAGTCCTACATCCACAGAGATGAGCACCACCGAAACCCTGCTGAAGGCCAGGGGAGACAGTCACCGAGCACCGTGTGTGGCTCAGCTCCCTGAATGAAGTTTCACAATTCGTAACCCACTGTTTTAATAAGGACAGAGAAAGAGCTTCTCTGGGTAGAAAGCTGGCTAATTTTCTTCCATGTTTACAGCGTAGGCTGCACACAGGTTTTGCTGTTTCTTCCCCTCAGCATGCTTGCCTGTGCAGACTGCTGCTCTGCGGGCTTTAGCACTCAAGTGAAGAGCCACAATTCCCTTCAGCAAGTCCCTGACAGCTGTAGGAGCCGGTTGCTCTGTCTGGGAAACAGTTCGGCAGTGACAGGCTTCTCAGTTTGTGGTGTCTGGCCCTCTCACAGCTCTGTATCTGGCCACTTGGCTGACCCTGCTTACCAACGCCTGCGTACTGCAGCAGGTGTGAAATAAGTTGACAGAGAGCAAGATCAGCTCTCAGAAAGAATACTTTGCCTGACTGGACATCTAATTCTGGGATTTATCTTTCACAGTAATTGCTTGCACCATTTTCTCTTAAGGCTGGAAACAGCAATGTATAAATGGTCCACAATTGCATTCATTCAAACATGATCACAAAGGAAGTGCCGGACACTGTAATGTGTCTTCAGGAATATGAGGACTGAGAAGCAAGGACTCAGCGGTCAGCACATGCTCCCAGGAGCAGCCTGGCTGCAATAGCTATGGTCCTGAGCCCTCCCTACGCAAGCAAGGTGGCCACAACATGGCAGGTTCAACGGTGCTGTGCAGCAGCCAATGGATGATCAGTTTAGACTCCAAGGCTGTCTTCATCATGGCATGAACTCCTGAGAATCAGGTCTGCAGACAGTGCAAGATTAACATGGAAATCAATGATGCGCTGATTTACACTAGATAGAGCACCAACCCTGATTATATCTATTTCAGCTGTGTTTTCCTGCATTTTGGGCTGGTAGAAGTAAGAGCAGGAAGCTGAAGAGGAAGCTACATGACCTGGAGAAATTCAAAGTCCACTCTGAAGCCACACGTGCTCAGTGCAACAGATAGCGGTGCAGAGAGTTCTCAAGAAGAGCAGAGTGATGGCTCAGGTGCTGCCTCATATGACCACACAGCTTCAAGATCTGAGCCCTAATGTCCACTGGGCACTGGAAGCATTCTCCTCTGGGCTGGTGCCAGCATCGAGACTCATCCTTCAGGTACAGGTGGGTTCACAGAGCCCAGATCCCATAAATGCTTTATAGGCAAGAGGAAGAGGAATTAGATCAAACAAAACTACTTAAAGGCAAAAGCAAACCTTTGTTCACTTCAAAAATGCAGGAAGTGACCTTCCTCTAATCCCACCTTACACACAACCACCCCGCAGCTCAAGTGTTGCGACCCAGACCACGGGGCCAGTAGCAAGGCAACAAGATTTGAAAAATAAGGATCTTATTTTTACGTTCAAGAATACTCTTGAAGTGAAAATAAGCTGCTACTCCTAATATCACCAGGAATCATACTGGAGAATGCAGGTCAAGCCACTAATACTTAGTGCAGTTTTACTGCCTGGTCTCTTGGGAAAATCTGATCGCTACAGTGCCCATGCCAGAAGAACGACGGCAGGGGGGGCTGCTGGACCAACACCTGCGTGGGAAGGCGGTAAAATACACAGGCTGTTCAGACAGACTCTGCTGCCTCAGCACTTCTGATGGACATCACCACAGACAGCTTTCCATTCCCTGCCCTGGTACCCCACAGACCACAGGCCAGCGGCCAGGAAGCCACAGTCATACCAGTGTGGCAGCATCTCCCAACCCATACAGGGAACCGCGCAGCTCTGCTTCTCTGCCCAGTCAGTGGTAAGCAGCCCTGCAGTGCTTTCTCTGCTTCTTCATTCTGCTGTGGTGAAAGCCTACAGACACAAAGCATGCCAGCAGCAGGCCAGAGACATCCTCACCTCAGCATGGCACCGGCAGCAGCAGTTCAGGGGATCCCCCTGCCCCCCAACCAAACACAATCTAGAATTGCACCCTTGAAAAATCTGCAGATTGTAGTTTTGCAGCATATGATCCACCGATACTTAACAACTTTTAGTTGGTTATCTTCGTCTACACTCCCAAGGAGTCATTTCTGTTCTGGAGACAAGCTGCAGAGTCCTGCTCCACACCTTCATTTACAGCAGCAATAGTTGAAACTCTGCTTGGCACAAGGAATAAATCAATACCTTTTTTCTTAATTGTGAGCTTGATAGTACGGAAGCTCCTCACTTTGAGGAATAGCTTTACTGCTGAGATAAGTCTGTTCCAAGCTGAAGAAGTCATTAGACAAGACAGCAATCACAATGGGACAATTCCTTTTCAATCCCCTGGCTGCACGACTCAGTCCTTGTGCCCTTCCTTTTTTCAGTTCCTTTTTATCCTCTCAATAAAACTGTCACTCCAGCGCTCTCAGCACATGAGACGGCCTGCTATTAAAGGAACATCTTCCCTCTCCCCTGGCACCCAGAGCAAAGCGTCAAGGCAGGTCCTAAAAGGCTGGCTCAGCATCACCCAAGAAGCTTACGCCAGGGTGCGGCCTCGAACCCAGCTCTTCCAAATCCTAAAATTGTGTCCCAGTCACTGGGGCCCTCTTCTTCTATCCCAACAATGTTGATATGCACATTTCCCTTACTAGGCATAATCACAAATCCTCTGCTGCATCTCTGGTGATACAGGACTACAAGAAAATTCAAGTTTGCTTCAGCCTCTTAAGCAAGACCAAGAATTGGATGCGTACAGTGAAGAAGTGGTTTTAGAAAATTCTGGTTTTGGCAGCAAAACTGTTGTAAGGTGTTCCACCTTGGACCTCCTCAAAATAAAGTTATTTTTAATCTGTCATTTCAGCAACCAGCACCGATCACAGTGCAGCTCCACAGCCATGCTGACAATGAGGAAGCGGCAGATTGGTATCTTGGGGTAGGACAAGACCTCTGCAGCCACCAAAGCCAGCATCTTGAAGCTGCTGGTTGCAGCCCCTAGAAAATGAAGCTGCAACTGCAACATTCAAAGACAAAAAAACCCCCCACACTTTGAAGATTCTTACATTGAACTTTTCTCATCACTGGTATTTTGTCTATCGCTCCTGGAAATCTCTCCTTTCCTATTGGAGTACTCTAAGTGAACTGGTTTAAACCCAAACTGTTTTCATGTCAGGGAGAAAAGGTCACAAGCTACTTTGGCACAGCCTCTACAATTAAGAGTGTTGTCTTGACTCTTCTCTCGTTGAAGTCTCACAGCAGCATTGCTAAGCGCTACACTGGGTCTGTCTTCTCTTCAACTTCTTTAACTGATATAACAGTCATAAAATTTGTTTGCTGTAGGCTAGTCCATAAATTCCGAACAATGCAAGCTCTCAAACAGACTTCAAAGTAGTAAGGTCTTTAGCCATTGACAAAGCATTAAATTTTCATTGCATTTACATCATGAACTATTAGATATTGCCTTACCACGTCACATCCTTTATTATGCTTTCTTTGGCTGAAAACTGCAAACTGTGGAATGGAAAGAGCTGGAAAAAACTGGCACTGCCTTCGGCAGATCACCATTTGACTCTTGCAAAATAATAATAATAAAAAAAAACCCAACGTGCAATTGCACTGCTATTGTAAGCAAAGCCCAAAGTTCAAGTGAAAGAGGATGACAGCATGTCTGACTAACCCTTCAAGCTGACTCTCTCTTTTCCTCCTTTCTAGCTTGTACCTCCACATGCACACTATAGCTGTTTTATCTACTGTTTTGTCTACGCACATGGGATCCCATTTCAGGCCGCTCCTGCTTTCCCCCGTCTTCTTTCAAAACCTCCTTAACTCAGGCTTTTTCTGGTGTTCTCCTCTAACAAAGGAGAGCAAAACCAGATGGCACAATAAGGCCAAAATCTGTTGCTGACAGGTCAGTTGCTTGAGCTTGCAGTAATATTGCAACTCCCATAAATCCTTTGTGTTTTCTCTTCCTCTGATCTGCCACAACTGAAGAGAGATTTGCAAACAAGTTCAGAAACAAGAAAATCAGCAGCCAGATTTTCTAGAACCACCCCACAGTCAGGAATGTTCACTGTGTCTGGATACTGGATTTTACCTGGGGGCAGTAACTTCTGGTCTGAGAGTCATGTATAAAGCCTCAACGCAGCACTAAAACAGAGATGCCAAATGCTTACGGTGTCCAAATAAAAGACTCTGTATGAGTAAGGAGAAAAACATTCCTTTGGTTTTTCCTGAACAAGAGTCAGTGAAAGACTCTAGGACATCTGCTTATTTCTGCACTGGACTGTACCACTGAAAGATGATGTGGGAACCTACAGCCCTCTGGTCCTAAACTAGTATATCGGACAGGAAGAAGCTTGATACTGCTGTTTGTGTGCCTTGCCCAGGGGAGCTTATAAGAGAGAGAAATGTAATTCTCATGGCAAACCCAGCTGCCTCACTAATGATCAGGAACACTACAAAGAACAGTAAACTGTGATAAGGAAGGAACGGAGGGAAAAAAAAAAAAAAAAAGTAGAAAAAACTTATTTCTGGAAAGCCAGCAGGAGTATTAGTGCTCCACCACTTTGGATAACCCTGCAAGGAAGGGGGAAAGCACGCACAGCTCACGCAATGCTCGAGGCCAGACTTCAGCACTGCTCCAGGAGGTCTGGGCGACGTCCCATCGCATTGGCTGTGGCAGCATGAGGAGTCACCACAGCACCTTGCACGCCACTTCTGGGAAGATGGCGGGCTTTGGTCCTGCCTAAAAATGAGGCTGTCAGTGGTCTGCCCATGGAAAAGCGTCCTTAAAGGAGCACTTGAGGGCTTGCTCTGTGCACAGCCTGGCCAACTGTGCTCGCATGCAACCTGGGAGCCCCAGAAAAGAGGAACCTAGGGTAGTGTGTCCTCTTCTCTCCCCGTCTTGGCCCTGTTTGCAGGAGTCAGATCTGAAGTCTTCATCAGGAGGAAAGACTGAGACAGTCAACCTGCAGCAGGGACTTCAGGGATGTCTAGAGCATTTTTGGTGGCTCAGGAAAGCTATGCTACTCTCCCCGCATGAGCCTGCCCTCCTCAGGTTCCCACACAGTTTCCTAGAAACCAGGCTTCCTATTGTATGCGTTGCTGCGCCAATGAATGAATGAAAACCAGGACAACGAGAACGTTACAGAGGAGGCAGCCAAAATTACAGTATGTGCAGGCAAAATGATGCCTCAGAGCTTTAGGAGATCCTCTTAAGAATAAAAGGAGACTCAACACATGTCAACGCCCCACAAGAGACATCCCACTCTAGGTCCAACAAATGGAGCTTTAAAGCAGGAATTGACACAGCTGCACAAAACTAAGCCCTTCTCAGAGGCAGAGTTAATGAATCTGAACGTAGCACTGGGCAGATGCAGCTTTTGGGACCCCCCCCAGCTCCTTAGCCAAGCACTCATGGCATGAACATACCAGCCTCAGCAGCATTATCTCGGGCGTTTCTAGTGGAGCAGCACAGCGTACTGCGCACAGCACCCCTCGCCCGCTTCTGCTACATTCAGCGGTGTGAAATACTGCTCTGCCCTGCAGCTGCACTGAAAGGGAGGGGGACCGAAGGCCAGCACATCACACGACAACAACATTTTTTCAAGTCTAACGTGACTTGTTTTAATTTATCTAGCCATATGCTGTGTAGGGCTGGGCTGCCCTGACAGGTCTCTAAGGGGCTGCAACTGGACATAAATTAGAAATGAGCAAGTTAGTTTCAAATGAATAATTTACAAGACAAACCTGCACTCTTTTTCTGTTTATGGCATCACTGAGAACAGACTAGAATTTCCTGGAATGCATTAGCTATTTGCAGTTCCCCAATAATGTCATCATGAGGCTATCTTTTAAACAGCTCACCATCAGTCAGCATTAATGTATATCGTTTTCACCAGTCACCATTTCAGCTCTGCTAAGGTGGGACATATTTGTATTCATCCTCCTTCCTGAGTCAGCAGCTCCGTGGTAACGGAGCCTAAGAAAAGTTTGGTCTAGGACTGCGTTCAGCTTAATTTCTCCTCTGGTAACTTTCTAATTCCGTAACAAGGAGAACTTAATCTCTTTTTGTGCTACAAAAAAAACCCCTTGATTTAAAATTGCAGTCTTGCAGTTAGAGTGAACTTAGGTGACACAAGCCCCTTTGCTTCCATGGAAGCAAAGTTTCCAAATAAACTGGTGTCACAGACAGCCTGGTGAGGTACTTACAACTGAAGAGAAGCATGATGGTGCCCAAGGTTCAAGTGTATTTCTCAACAAGCTGCAAGCACTGTTCTGGGGGTTGATGTAAGATACACACAATCCTTTTCTACAGTATAAAGATGATACAAGATCCCCATGCTGGCCATCATTCACACCACGTGGCAAGGAGCAGACAACGCCCTGACAACCCACAAGCTCTGAATGAACACATCTTGCTACGCTAAGCTTCCTCGAGCGTTGCTGTCATCTGGGTGGACCACTCATCACAAAAAGAAGAGGCACGCGTTTTCCTTGCTTTGATCTAGTCACTGTTGGTCCATATATATCTTTCTTCCACAGACACGCACAGTTGTCTTGCTGTTTAGATATAACTATTTTTGTTTTGCCATAACTATTTTAACTTTATGTTCCTCAGCAAGTCCATGTATATACCTGCTAACACTAATATTCAATACATGCACGCAATATCTATATTTAAAACCCTATTAGCTATATCATTGCAATTCTGACTGTGTGGATGATTATCACGAATGAGACTGCGGGTTGACTCTGAAGAACTATAAAGGACCCACATGCCTGGGTGGCTGCTGAATAAAATGCAAATAAGTTCAACAGAGAAATCAGCACGGGGCCTGGTAGATTGTTCTAGGATCTTGCATAAATACTCAGTGGCCAACACCAACCCACCAGCCTTCCCAAAGCAGAAAAACAGACGTTAGGCATCAGCAGAAGAGAAGAAAGCAAAACAGAAAATTACACAGGTATGGTGCGCCCACAGCTTGAATACTGTATTTATTTAAACTGAGGATCTGACCCTCTATGTTACAAGCTAAAATAAGAGTTCCTCATTTCGTATTTTTAAGTTTCAGCTGGAAAGATGCAAAAAGAGCTCGCTTCACGAGTCTGAACAGAAGACCATCAATACCCACCTGGACTGTGGCATGAACAGCCTCGGGCACCTGGTACTTCAGCTCGTTAGCAGTTTCCTGAGATTTTGGCAACAGGAATGGGTAGGACAGGGATCGGTATTTGGGCTTCATGATCTGCCCCAGCATAAAAAAGAAAAGAAAAAGAAACACAAGAGACTAAAACATAGCAGATTGAGAAACTAAATGTTGCTAAGTAGTGCTGTGGGCACCGGGGTAGGAGGGCACCCAGGGCCACGTCCCACCTCCGCCACCCCTACCTTGGTGAAGTTCCAGCGCTGAATGAAGTGACGTGCAACGTCGCGTGCAGCTTTGCCGTGCACCACGGAGGAGATATCATGCCACGGCATTCTCGGTGTGGTGTGTCGGTCAATGAAATCTAGGCGGACAGGAGAGCACGTGTGGACTTCAGACAAAGAACAGGTATTCACAGGAATGCAGTGGGGTCCCTTTCATTAAACTGAAGCTTTCTGAGGCATGACATCAAGGGCTGTGCAGATTACTTCAGGCTTACTGTGCAATGAACCATCCCTGCCACCTCCCCACCCCAGTCCAAATCCACAGACCGTAGCAGGACAATTGGCTCTAGAATCTTTTGAAGAGTTTTTCCTGCTTCCTTCTGGGCAACCAAATCCAAAAGGTCTCATCACCTCTAGTTCAGAAGGTAAAAATCGAAGGAGTCTCGTAAGGCCGGAAGAGCTATGGATCGAGACTGAGAAGAAGTGGAACAGGGTTTGGGGGAAAGTAATGAACTCCAGTGCAAAGGCACTTACCGGCAAAAGGTTTGTCAAGCTGAACCCAGTCTTTAAAGACAAAGTTGCAATAGTCTTTTCCATGCCAGAATCTGGTTTCCCCAAGCAGCTCGCCAACACCTGTCTTCAGACTGCGGATTGACCCTTTATCTGTCATAGGTAAATGAGATGACACAAACACGCTCCCAAGTTATACAACATTGGTGAGAAACTTGCTTTAGCAAGAAAGCACTGGCATGACTTGGCAGTCTGAGTAAGCTGAAGCTGTTTTCTACCTAGTCTTTCTGCTGCTTTCAAAGGACTTATTAAAATATTTTTCCTCCCTAGTTTAACAATTCTGGTATACAATGAGGGCAGATGATATTTGCATGAATCCATTACAGAAACAAAAAGCAGATGCTGCAGAGAATGCCCTCTTCCCTGCACTGGACTAGAAGATCACTCTATTTGTCTTTCCACAATCCTGTGACACCTAAATAATACCAGGTGGGAACGTACTCCCAGCTAATCACTGATCTTAGTGGAAATATGTACAGGAATACTACATGTTTCATCTACTTAACATATTTTACAGTATAAATGTACTAAACCCTCTACAAGAGAAGTTGAAATTATGATATTGACTCTATAATAGGGTATATCTCCTGTAAGATAAGCTAGCCTTTATTAACTACAATGAAACAATTAAAAAGCTCCGATCCCCTGGTTAGGTGTTAAAGATTCCCCCCCCCCTCCAAATAACACCACCTTTTGAAGTTTACATTTGAACAAACAGATCCTGAATTCCAAATTTATGGTGCTAACAATAGTTCAAAATGCTGTCTGCAGGGATATTCCTCTTCTAAGAGGACCTGTCTTCTAGAGCCTGTACGCTGGGTGCAGGAACTCTTTCCTCCCTCCTAAAAACCAGAAGATGTCAGTCTGAAACATGTAACTAGTGTTATTTCCTGTCCTTGAGAGCAGCCTTCATCTAATGTATCAAATACTACTGTAATAATTAAGTAATAAAAAGCCAATAGCAAAAGTCCTCTCCTAACCCAGTCACACCGCTGGGTACCAGGAAAATGTTTTAGCACCAACAAAAAGAAAACAAACAAAAAAACCCAAAACTTTTTAATAGTCAACAAAATACACACCAGCAACAGTGCAGTAAGAACAGTTTACATGAAGCCAGCCCTGCCAGCACTGTTACAACACCCCAATGAGCCAAGCCAAGCCATGCCAAAAACGCCATGCAGCAGGTATGCACCATAGCTGCCCTAGAAAAGCATGAGTTTCTAGTGAGAGTCCAGGTGGAGCTGGGGAATCACTGACCCTGCATGCGTGAATGTGAACATATGGGACACACCGCTGAGTCAAAACACACTTCATGGACCAAGCTCCTATGACTGTACGCTGACTGACGAACGAGCACGAAGTGACCATAGTGGGGACAGTACTTCATTTCCATGTGGAGCAAATGCATCTTTTTCTTGTTACACACCAATACTTTGCAACTAGTATTTCATAATTGGCTACTAACATCTTAGAGGAAGATGTTAAAAAGGGAAAGATGTGGAAGAACTACTCCTTTACTCCATACCTGAAATCAAAGTTATCTATATGATCTACCTATAGATAGACAGGCATTTTCAACACCTTTTATCATTGGTCCAGAGACCAGAACGGCTCAGTGTTCATAAGCACCTAACTCCTTTTTCAATCAAGTATGCTTTCGTTAACCGTAATAAGGGCCAAAAGAGGGGCCCAAACCTTCATCCAAACGTGGGTCTGGCAGTTGCCACTTTGCCGTTTCTTCTGTCTGTCTTCTGCACTAGATGTTTTAAAGTAAGCCTGATGCATAATGTTCCCAGTTCCAGTGATAAGCCCCTTCCTTTGCAGGAAGGGAGCTGTTGGAATAATTCAGGTACTAAACTCTGAATTAATTTCTCAGCTGTACCTACTGTCATTACTACAAATTTGCATTCTTTTACTTATGCTGAAGGTTTTGAAGCTTCCGCAGAAGGTGTTGCTCTAAGAATGTCTTCAGATGGCGTGATAAGGCTACTGAGAGTGCAACACAAACAGGAGATGGTTGATCCCGGAACCCAACCTAACTCTCACCAAAGCTAGAGTGCAAAGAACACTAACGGCTAAAGCCTAAAGGGGTCTGCACTTCTGCCTTCCTCCACTTACCCTCCCGAGGCTCAGCGAGCCCCTGTTTGGATTCAGTGTGGTGATGAAACATTTTCAGATGGGGTTTTAAACTCTGGATTATATTCGGTTGACTTCTATTGGTGTTACAATAACCTGCAGAAAGTCAAGATGCTCCATTTGCAGCAAAAACATACATCTACTTCTACTATACTGGTTACTGATCCTATCTGAAAACAACCTGCACAACAGTAGTTCAAACTGACATCTCATTTGCTGACACTACAAGCAACCACCAGATTCAAGACCTAGGTTTTTTTTGACCAAACAGATAAAAGCAATGGCTTGCTACTTCAATATGTCCTGAACTGACTACGACCAACGCCCACTGTGCTCCTGCAAGGCTTCCTCTTGCCAGAGGAATAAATAATCATTGTGGAGCCTGTCTAGGCAGGGAATAATGGAAACTCGGAAGTCTCCATCTCAAGCAATTCACAGCTTCAGGAACGGAGGATTTCATAAATAGATTTCAAAGTAAAAAAATCCATGCTGCAATGAACCGCAAGCTGTCCCTTGTAATTTTAGCTTTGAAGTTGTTTTTAGTGTGTGGAATTAAAAGCTGCATTCAAATAATCAACTGCTGAATAGTCCTTCCACTCTAGGAAGCGGGTAAATCGGGAATATTTCCATTTAAGTGAACCGAATTAAACCTAGGTAACACTCATGCCTGACAGGGGGTAATCACATTCAGAAATTGTTCCACTTGTTACACTAAATACAAGTTGAAAAACTGAAGATTCAATTCTCCATTGCAGGAACAACAGTACAAATACTAGCTCTCACACGTACACCACATCACATCATCTGATGACTCATGACAATTGCTAACTAAATCTAAATCTACTTAAAACTTTTCTTGTATGTTTTGCAGTGACACAAATTTACATGTTAACTAAACATAGTTATTATCCTGATAGTTAAGGAATTCATCAACTTACTTTCTTTACAAGAACACACTACCCTAGAAATTACGTGAATGTGCATGTATACCCACCCGCCTCCACACACACTCCATATATGTCATTTATGTAAAGCTAAGTTGAAAAACATTACTTACTTGATTCACTGTCTATGCTGCTGACGCTATCAGCATGGTGCATGCCATGTTTCTGGAGATGCTTGTAAATAGTGAACCTTGAAAACTTTTTGGGTTTTCCTATCCCTTTCATTTTTGAAACGTCTGAGGCATCTTCATCATTTCTCTGGAGCAGATGGTTTTCTGGGGACATAGCGTGAGACTCCAGGGAGATATGTTCCGATGACTCAGCTGCAGACTTAAACACAGGACATTGCTGCAGATGAAGCATGGGCAAGCTCCCCTTTAACTATAGGTGATCATTCACATCAGTGCTCAGAAACACCAGGAGCCAAAGTTTGCTACATGACAAAGATGCAACTCGCACCAGTTTCAGTGGGAATTATTAATGCTTTTGAGAGAGAATCTGTACCTAGGATGCACTTAACAGAAACTCCCACTAATGCTAACAATATGTTCTCCAATAAATTATCCATAAATTTACTCTGGACTATTACTCCTCCCAAAATTCCCATATGCTCAGGCCCCTTTAAAGTTTTTAGGGATATCCGGTTGTCTATAAGCCCAGGTTATCAAAACAGCTGGACAAATAAGGCACCCGCTTAGGGCCTGAGGATTCAGACATTTGGAGCACTCCACAGATGCCTACTGCACGCTCACAGCAAAGAATTTTATTAAGAACACAACCTCCAAATTGTGACTGCTACTCCAAGCTCTGGAGGAAACCTAGCCGCTTATCCCTTTGCCCTAGCAGAGGCTGACCTTTTCAGGATCTAGACTGAAAGAGCCATTCAGTATAGAGATACTTCCTTCTTCCCATTACTACTTCTCTTTAACCTCTCTAAACCCAATGCTAGGCGTAAAAGCTGCTATGGCTTATTCCTCCCCCCACACCATAAGCCTGCCACGTTTTCCTCTGCAGAGCACATACTTGAAAACAGGCAGCCAACCGGAACAAGCTCACTTACTGCCAGATTGATTGTCGACACTGACTTTCCTGCCGCCACGCGTTTAACACTGCCAACATCAGTCAGGCGATGTTCGTCATCATCCCACCTGCCGTAGGCCAAGTCAATGCCACCAACAAATGCTACGGACTGGTCGATGATGACAAGCTTCTCATGGTGGGCCCAGAGGTACACGGAGGAGGACACGTGGTCCGGGTGTCTCATCACCTGGGGAGAGAACCACTGCTCAGCTCAGCTGTTGTGCAAACCTCCTCGATCAATTTAAACTTCCAGCCAGAAAGCTGTCGAGCTTTTGTTTGGCTGTTCAGGATGACAGGGATAACACAGGAGTTTTTAGAAGATGCATCCACAGAAATGGTCAGATTGCTATAGTTACTGAAGTAACGTGACTCCCCTCTAGTTCTGACACAGCAGCCGCTTCCCAGTGACGGGAATATTCCTGTGCAGCAACAGTTACAGATGTGACCTGGCCCAATAACAGCAGCATCATAATGGCATTCATAAAAAGATTACAGTCAAGGAATCTTGACTATAGATATACAGTCTACCATTTTGTTCTTTAGCGTTAAAGGAGAACCATTAGACCAACTTGCTGTAGAAAAAGCTAAAGATTTTCACCTGGCTACTCCCCAAGTCTGTTACATAGCTTCCACAAACACCTTGCAATCGTGCTGTGAAGATGACAGTGAATGAATACTTTCCTTCACAGTGACAACTGATCAAGTGACAATACATCTACTATTTCTTTTAGTAGTTTACTAATCAGCATAATGCTTAATATACATTAATATAATAAATAAATATATATGTTATATCTCATTAAAATTCACGTGTCTCTAATTTCAAGAGATTGTATGATAAGCTACTGGTTTATGCCCCACACTTCTTTTTCTGTTTTGTGTCAGAGCAGCTGTGTAACGGCAGAGATAGCACAATGCTCTTCATTTATGATGGGAATGTAAACATCCAGGATTGACTCTCTTCATTTGTGTATGAACAGAAATACTGATATGAGGTAACATTTTCAAACTGTAATTTTCCATTTGATGCAACTCCATTAACTTGTCATATGAAATACGTTTCCTGTGAATCAGATGAAGAGGTGGTTTGGCAAGTCTAAGCTAAATAAATTCATGTTCAATTTATAACCAAAAGAAATGAAGTGGCCATGCTCAAATGCTGGTAAGCACTGTATGGGTATACCTTCAAAGACTATTCCCACTGTATTAGTGACAAAACTGACTTCCAATTCAAATCATGAAATTCCTTGCTAAATATGAAGAGCAAATGAATGCTAGTGTCATAGGACTGTGCAGTGCACAATTACCTTAATGTTTGGATGAAGATGCATGAGCGTCCGCTTGCTATATTCACTGTTGATTCCTAGGGCAAGCTCCACTTCTTTATACAGCATAACAAAAATTCTCACTCCTTGTTGCTGTCAGATATTAGAAGAAATATATGGTATGCAGATATTTCAGTGGACATAGTCTATTTAAAAAGCAATGAAAAGCTAAGGGGGCAGTATGCAGGTTGTTCTTGTAGACAAAAATACAGACTGAGATTTCTGAGACTCATTCTTGATCACATTCTGCCAGATCCAGCAATTTGATCCTACAGCATGCAACAAGCCCTCGTCTCTCCTGAAAGCTCTTTAGCCTCCAAAAAAGGGCTCAGTACCCGGCCTCTTGGGTAAAGAGCTGAGGTAAGCAGAAGCCTAACAAAAGGTCATTCTTAGAGTTCTCAATTTTCAAACAGCCTTTGAGGTAGAATTTTGCAAATCTGATTCACTCCACATACAATCATGTTCCACATAGCCACTAAAGTTTAGTTTTCCACTGGTTTATGTTCTCCCAAGTTTTGCCTACGGTTAAAAGCATCTGCAGGACAACGTTACCAGTGGAGTCATACTGTCACCCTTCTCCCAAAGGAGATGCAACTGAGCCAGTGCCAGCAAATAAGTTGCTTGCCGTAAGAAGTTATCATAGATGAAGCAAGCTCCTGGAACAGAATGAGCAGTACTCACGTGATGGTGCTTTCTGTTACTGTAATGATAGCCACATGATAGTTTTTATGGACACAGCTGTGTTAAAGCACTGGCCAGACTGTCAGCTGCTTCCCTGCTGAGGTTGGTAATACACTGGCCTAACTTTCCACTGCCCTAAGTCAGTACAGCTTCACATCTTGCAGTGAAGTATGCCAGCTTAAACTAAGGACCTAACCTTTCCACAGCATTGTAAATCTCTGTTCCCATAAAGCTGCTACTGAGAGCTTAGACAGTCTCCAAATTATGGATGATAGTCTGCTTTCTCTCCAGTGCACTAATCAGAAAAGGCCAAGGAAGCACCATACATACAGAGAGGTCAGCTGTTCTCCTACCTAGGTACCAGGACGGCCCTGCTGAATCAAAGAAAAACCTCCAACGAGAGAGCAGGCAAGTATTTCCATGGACTAACCTCAAAACATTCCTCAGTCTTTTACAAAATATTTATAGCCACAGGAAAATCTACGTCGACACAACAGACAAAGCCGAATTCTTCCAAGTGAGCATGCCCTATGGATACGATCCATTTGCCAGAAAATAAGACTATTTTCAAGTCAACAAACTCAGACACAAAAAAAAAAAAATTATTTTTTCCCCCCTAGAAGTGTGGAGGGGGTGAGGACTGTCAAGACGACCAATTTGGAAGGGAGGGAGACAAAGTTTATTTTAGCACTGCTGCCTAGATTCCTGCCTTTTTATCACATCAATATTCAACAGCTGCCACCTGGCTGCACTTCTCTTAATGAGTCGCTGCTCATGTCAGGCAAACTACTAGTCCTAACACCAGTACTTTCACTGGTTTGATTAGCAACTGAAATACGGTCCAGTTTCATAAAAAACCCAAACTCAACATCTTTTCTGTCTGGCTCATTCAGGTCCTTGAAACATGCTTTCTTTAGTCTGGATCCAGACCGGTTATTTGAAAGCAGAGTATAACCAACGACAAAATAAACTGTTTTCTGAGAAGATGGAAATGTAAAAACAAAACCACCCACCCACTCAGCAGGGTCACTGATGCTGTTCCTTGAAACTCAGAACTAACAGATGTTGTGGCACGCACATATCTTAGATCATTGCACAAAAAAGGAGAGTCCACAACAGCACAGAGCTTCCCAAGGGAATTCTTACACGGACTACTAGGAAAGGCACCAGGTCAACAGCAGATCAGAACTTGTGAGTTCAGGAAGAATGGCAGAGAAGTAGAAATCAAAATAGAAGGCAAAAAGCCTTATCAAGAATCCCAGTTTCTGTAAGCATTTGCTTACTGTACACAAGCATTTATTAACCCAGGCAACATGGGAGTCCAAGTCTGAGTCACATTCATCACTACGTTGTTTACAAGTTCCATACCAGATTCCAGCTCAGAGGAAGGCGATGCCATTTGAGTTTATCCACCGAATTTCTACCTTTTCAAAAAGCCGTTCATCCTCATCAAGCCACATGCTCTGCTAGAAGCCCCTTCCCTCATGTCCCTTTTCTACAGCAACACACCAGGACCCTCATGACCAGAGCCACTGTCTAAGATGGGACCGGCCATGAGGACAGGACTAGTCTTCCTCCTCAGAGTGGCCATGCAAAGGCTGTGAGAATATAAGAAGGGGTAGGTGGGAACAAAGAAACCCAAGAGAGACACAGGAAATAAGAGCCATCTACCAAAAAAATAAAGCCTCTCCGAATCACATAAGTCATGCTTGGAAATGGAAAAAAGCATTTTGGACCTAGGCCTTTTTTATGCTCCACTAAAATTCAAAATTAAAATTATCAATGATATCAGCCGTAAAAGAACTATGGTAAGAAGAGTATTGGGCAGCCAGGTCTGGGCAGGATGAGTGCAGGACAGGGACTCATCCTGTCTCTTCTTGTAGAAGAGACAGCAAGACTGGGAGAGAATAGGATGAAGTTTAATGTAAACAGGCACTTCATTAGAGTAAGTAATGATGGTTGAACAGTAAGAGTTTCAGCACTTCAGTGTTCAGTTGTAGCATGGACCTACACAATATATCATTAGGTACGGAATACGAGAAGGCTCTAGTAAGTTAGCATTAACTTCTGGGTGATCCAGTGACTTCTTGCTAATGATACCTTGATTTTCTTGGAAGACTGATCATATCTTTCACAGCTTCAGCTCTGAAAGCAGAAGCACAGATATGCGGCAATGACATAACAGTATGTGCATAACACAGTGTACAAACTGTTTACCAAGAACAACCATGAGTGCTTAGTCCCTTAAGTACCTCTAATTTCCATATGCCACAGTGAAAGAGGCAGGCAGCAACAGCTCTTGGACCACACCAGGAGCTGGAGCAGTCGCAACGCAAGGCTGAAAAAACCTGAGCCCAAGGAATGGAAGAAGCAATCAGAGGTCTAGCACTCTGCCTCTGAACTCTTCCAAATCCAAACAGGGGGAAGCAAGTCAAAACACGTGGCTTCAAAGGTCAGTGGCAGGCAATGAGGCTTGCTCTGTGATATCTCCAACTCTCATTCCTATGAAAATAAACACTGCAAACACTCCAGTCCATACATGACCCTGTAACTGGGCGGATGCACGGGAATTTACTGCAGAGCAAAGGTTGAAGTTGGAGCTCACTTACTGCCTTCCGCTTGAGGATACAGTCCAGTCTCCAGTGATTTCCTTCTACAACAGGTCGTTTCATGAAGATTTCTGGGCTCAACCTAAGAAAATAAAGGGGTGGAAAAAACACAGTACACGTAGTCTGCAAACAAAGCACCAGCCTAAATAATCAACACAGCAAGCAGAGAAAAGGAATTTATGTCAGTGGATGTGAAGTCTCATGTCCTAAAATGATACAACCTCCTCCAATGTCATGCTCTTTGTTTTTAATAATAAAGCATTACAGAGGACAGGTCCAGTACTTTCATTTTAGTATCCAGCAACCCATAAGACCAAATTTAACAGTCACGTAGAAACAAGGAAACTTGGACTCTCTATTTGAGAGATGCAAAGAAAGAAAATTCCAAAACAGATTTGAAACAAGTAGGTAGATACAAAAAAAAAACCAAAACAACATTGGGATTTCAGTTCTCCTGATACTTAAGCTAAACGAACAACACAGATTTGGGCTGAATTTTCCTCCCTGCTCTCACAACAGGACGTTTTATTGATTCACAGCTTTAAGGATTACAAGGAATAATTAGGAAATCTTGAGCAACTCCTGCAGAGCAAGGTCACAGAATTTCATTTCTTTACTTTTGCACAGAGCACAGGAACCTGTGCTTGATTAAAGCATATTGCCACATCCTAAAAACACGCCTCCAACAGCAGCATTTTTATCTTAAGCTCCAAATTTCAGATAAGTTTTACAATTCCAAGGCATGTTAAGAACTGACTGTTGTCTGAATAAAACGCTGAGGTAAGTAAGAGGCAACGCACCTGAAGTGTGATGCTCTTGCGTTACTACCTCATGTTGCACATACGCCTCCAGGAGCACTGGGTTCATTTGTGGTCATCGTAAGAAACACCTCCCTCAGTGAGGACTAACATCCCATTTTGTTTTCTCAAACTAATTCCCACCTAAGACCATGAATTAAACCTGCCAGTGCTTCCAGGAAGTAGAACGAGTCCCAAGAGGTTTGTTTCACAGATGGAGAAAGGAAGTGTAGAGATTTGCTCAAGGTTAAAGAGGAAGTCCAAGACCTAGCTCTAGAGTCTACCCTGTCGCTCTGTCTCCAAGCTCCAGCCTGGCCTCAGGTTACCTTCACAAAGGCAGGATACAGGCAGCAACGACAAGCATCCAGCCAAGTAACTGTATCCTAAGGACCATAAGAGCACATTTTTTCCGCCTCTAACAGGAACTACCTTAGTAATGCATAAACGTATTAATTTATTAGTTAAGAGGAGGGCAGAGGAAAGCTCTTAAGCAGCCACATAGCTTAGAAAAGGGAGTACAAAACTCCCTCTCCATTGTCTGGCCTGTTTAAGAGTAGAGCAAAATTACATCCACCCCCAAGTGCTCCTCTCGGTGGCACGAGGCTCCCCAAGACAGCGAGGAGGAGCAGAAAGGATAACACGGGAAGTGCACTGCACCAGTAAAGAGATATTTGAGTGTCCATGTTCCCCTACACACTGAAAGACATTCTTGTCCCTTGGGCTTACAATGGTTTACGCTCCTGATGAAGCAATGCAAGCCATAACATTTTCAATTCAGGTGGTGCCTTCATGCAATTTTCAGCCCTTTCCTTGGAAGTGGACAACCAAGCTGTTGATTTCAAGCATGCGCTTTTGCTGCCAAGCCTCCTGAAAAGGCCTTTGAATACAACACAACGAGATGCTTGGGTGTGCTGCCAAACCATCTGGCCGCACAGCTAGTTTCCATACTGTAAGACCTTTGAACACTGCAGCATTGTTGGGAATGTCCTAAGACAGCTGGTCAAAATCCAAACAAGTAAGTACGAACCACCAATCTGTGATGAAAATTTCTTCTTTAGCTGCTTCCATGGCATTTGCAACATCTTCAAAGTACCACTTAGCATTTACATACCTGTAAAAGCAAACAAAGTGCAGAGGCTTATTTTCCCTTACCCTTAATCAAACAGAAAGTTCACAGTTGCAGACCGACAGGGTTCTATGTTAACGTTGTTTACATTCTCTTCTCAAAAGCAAAAACAAACCTCATTTCATGAATCAGGACAACATACATGGAGCCGCATACATACATGGTCATACTGCCGTTGGTACCCTAATGGAATAGGGTTATAACAATAAGGGATTGTTATGTGCCACTTGGAACTCCTGCCAGCCACACACAATACTCCACGGGTCTTTGCTTAACGTGTGAGCTAGTTTTGGCTCTCAGAAAAGGATGGTGTGGTATTGTTAGCTTTATGGAAACTTTCTGAGCAGTGGAAGGCTGCAGGACAGAAGCTGCAACGACAGCATCAGTATTGCTAGTGTTTAACTCTAATCAGAATCAATTTTTTTGAGGTGCTCCTGGGAACGGCATTGTGCAATCGGGTTACACTATAGAAGGGAGGGTTGCTTGCACAAAGCCAAGTTACCTTTAGACTACGCCCAAATTTGCATTTGCTGATTCTTTTCCATTGCAAAGCCAATCTGCAAGGCCTGAATCTGATGTTGCTGTTCAACCAGATGAGTGACATTTGCATCTGAACACATCTGTGGTGCCTGGAAGGGCAGTACTAAGTTACAGAATGAGAATCAGCCTTGCAAATGTGTGCTGGACATATTTTGAATTTTAAGACAGGAACGATGTTACTAGGCCATTGGTCACAGACGAGCAAAGGCAGGAGAGACTGCAGCACAGCTCCTCTATGAGGAAGCTACAGAGAAGGAAGCAGCGAAAGAGGCAGACGTTTTCAATAGCCCCACATAACCACGGGTTTATAACCCAGAGCCCAAAGACCTAAACCTTTAGGTCTTTGGGAAATACCTTTAGGAAATAATCATAATCCATAATCACAATCCATAATCAGAAACTATGAGAAAACTGAAGCCAGGAATATCTTAATGAAAGAGCAGTTCTGTCTTTAATTCATAAGCATCCTGCCCATTGCATGTGCATCGAGATACAATTTTTACCCTTAAAATAATAAACATCAGATGTGTTTAAATTCATACCATATTCAACCTTTCAAAATTCTATTAGCTGTGATGCAAAGTCATCATAGGATCAAAACAGTCCTCTCAAGTATTGCTATTATGTTGCCAGTCAAGAAAGCTACAGTTTTTTCAGCTTTTCTCAGTATCATCACTACCTATAATTACTGAATGAAAACAGACTTATCCATCAGACTTCAGGGCTAAATTAGGAAGGCCTGTGCCTTTCCTGCTGCACATAGCAGCACCTTTTTCCACCAAAAGCAGTGTGACATGGGTGACAGTCTCGCTCCAGTACTCCTCATCTTACCACTTTGTCAATGTGTTTTCTTGCACCGCTGCGTAAGATCCAAATCTGTGCTCTGTTAGGAAGTCCTTGCCATTTTTCCGAATGAACTCGTCTATTCCTTGCCTCCACCACTGGGCATGCCTGTAGCTGTTACACTTCAAAATCAGTTACATGT